ATAAATACATACGATTATAGATATTTCTCTGAAGCTAGTCAAAAGGATCATAAAATTTCTCCACAAATTTTATCATTAGAAAAATTAATACAGAGAACACATCTTGGGCCTGGGAAGATAGCTCAGTAGAATAAATACTTGCCTGGCAAGCACAGGGTCCTGAATTCAATCTCTCGTACTGTGACCAAAAAAAAAAAGAAAAAGAAAAAAAAAAGAAAGAAAAAAGAAAAAGAAAGAAACATCTTTTACTTTCTTTCTCCATCATATAATTGTGTTGGTTATTTTTGATCGTGATGACTACCATAATAATTTGTGATGGAAAATTTTAAGTAAATCAAAACTGAGAATGACACGAAACTTCACATAAGCTCACCTAGTAAGTACGTGGAGAAGAGAATATTTTCCAAGTAAAACATGACATAATTATTTCTTTTTCTTTTTCTTTTTGCGGGGGGGGGGTCTTCAGGGTGTTCAGGGTCTCACTACTAGATTGGTCTCGTAGTGATCCACCTGTTTACAGCCTCCCAGGACCTGGGATTACAGGCATGCATCACCACACCCAGTCTCAATTGCTGTCTCAGCACGCCCTGGGGGTGGGGCCAGCAAGGGAGGCCCAGGGATCAAACCCCTGGCCTCTGCACCTGCTTGCAGGCGCTTTAATCCACTGAGCTATTTGACCAGCCCTAATTATTTCAATTAATGAAAATCCAATTATGCACTTGAAATATCCACTCACTACCCTTGTCAGTCTTTGAAAGTGTATCTACCAGATGTAACTGAGTTAACATTCAATTGTCAGACAGAAACTCAGTGTTTCTTCCACAATGGTCAACGCTATGGATTGGATCCAACCCAAGCCTTAAGTTAAAACAGAAATGTCAAAATGGCATCCTTCTACAAAAGCTCATAAAACGTCCATGAAATGCAATAGGTGACTCTCAACACTGATACAAAAAAAGCACATTTTCAGGACATTGACATCTCTATGTAAGTCTTTGAATAATTATATTAATTGGGTATCTATGAATTTCTTACTAAACTATGTAATATAATCTACCTTTATAAAGGAAATATCACTTCTCTACTAACTGGAGACAGACGATAACTGAAAACATAATATGATAAGAAAATTTTCTTTTCTTTTTTCTTTTTTTTTCTTTTTTTTTTTTAGGTGGGGGATTACCGGGAATCAAACTCACAACCTCATGCTTAGCAGGCAGGCACTGTGCCACTGGGCTATATCCCTGGCCTGATACAAATTTTCCAGAAGTGGCAGTACTTAGAAAGTTGAAGGCACTGTTAAGTGGTTCCTGTCATGATAAACAGCCAGATATTGCTAAGGAAGATTTTTGAGAATTATTTGATAGTAGAACCACAAGATGGAAGTTTCTATTGAATTCTAAGCTGAGATTAATCTAACTAAAATGCTAAATTTACAAGTGTGCTAGGAATGAAATACAGTTGGGTTGTATGACATTGTAACAGTATTTGTACAGAAAATTTATATTAAGTTACTTTTATTTTCACAAAAGCAAACTATACTTGTTGCTAAATTTGATGTATTTTTACTTTAGTACACGTTTTATTCTGATCACGTATTTAGTTGTATTTTATTATTTTTCTCCTTTATGAGGAACACTGTAGCTGAGAAGTAAATCAAGAATTATAGATAAATTTCTGAGCTTAAAGAATTTTAATAAAATTTCTATGCATGGCAAGCTTAAATAATTCAAAATATTCACCAACTGTTGAAGAGGAAAGATATAACCGTAAAGAGAATAAATTACAGGGAAAAAAAGCTACGTCTAAAGTTGGAACTGTATATGAAATAGCATATCTCGACATAAAAAGGTAGAATCAGTGGGAGTTATTTTTAAAAGGTGACGATATATTCTATTGCATTTAATACATTACTTTTCAAAGAAATGCTTTTCAAAAACAGGATTCATTTTATTCTACACAACAAAACCTCAAAAATACAATTTGCAAATTACTAATACTATTAGTCAATCACCATATATTTTAGTTAATCTCAATTAACACTAAAATAAAAATCTTGAAAGTATTTTATAATGTTTGTAGCTCAAAATGACTAATTTGCATATAATATTTGCTAAAGTCTACCCAATGCTGCTTATCTACTTGACACTACATGATTTAAGTATATAAATTATTGACTGTACTTAAGGTCATATTACCATGCCAGATTCAGAAATGCTTAGCCGGTAGGCATAAAGGACTCAACCCAGACGTCTACTTAGGGGACCGCTCATCCTTCCCACTTCTCTATCCTACTTCTGGAGGTTAAAGACCTAAAGTTTTTGTTAAACTCCACACAATCTGAGATGTCATGTGTGTAAACCTTTTCTCATTATGAAAGAGAAGGTGTGAGTTTCAAAAAACTAAAAAGGAAGGGCCAGCCAGATTGCAGAGCAGACTAAAGCACCTGCTTCAGCAGAGCCCAGCGGCCAGGGTGTGATCCCCCTGCCTGGTTCCTGGGGCATGCTGAGAGGGTGATTGAGACTGGACGTGGTAGTGCATGCCTCTGATCCTAGCACTTGGGAGGCTGAAAACAGGAGAACCACTGGGAGTCTGATCTACACAATGAGACCCCTGTACCCCCTGAACCCCCTGTACACCCTGTCCTAAATTCATTAAAAAAATCAAAAAAAAAAAAAAAAAGAAAAAGAAAAGAAACTATAAAGGAAAGTGAGCATATAGTATACCTGCCAAGTGATCATATAACATAATGGTAACAGCAAGAAGGTGGCATTTAATTCTTTAGGTCAGGGAGGATTCGACCCTGTGATTACCCTCATTCAAAACAGAGACAAGAAAAAGCCTATGATCATATTTAACACTCAAGGTCAAAGCACTGAAAAAAACGCCATTTTTTCCACAAAGCTATAAGGGTATTCTTCATGAATTCCACTCAAAGAGAACTGACTTAGTAACATTATTCCAAAACATTAAAGATGCTTTTATATCAAAACAACTGATCAAAATGTTTACATTTATTCTGTTTAAGTGAACAGTAATTCATGTAGCTCACATACTATGCAAAAGAATAAGGCTTTGTTGGCAGACAATTTAGCATAGTCAGTTTCCAGCTTTCCAAATGAAAGGGCGCACGGAGGTTTCATTCTGTGATACCAGCCTGAGGTCACCCAAGAGGAAAGTGTGACTCTGGGCGTGTGGGGCCACTCTCCTTTGAAGGTGTCTTTGAAAGGGGATACAGGAGGGAGAGCAATGTGGATCCTTTCTAGAACTAGACTTGAAAGGCCCCATTTGGCCCATCTTCCACATGGCAAGAATTAGAAAACTTTGTTGCCTTTTATTTTCCATTGTGGGATACTCAATGGGAAAACGAATCCAGGCTCTGTGTGTCCCTATATAGTAAGAGCTGCGTGAGAAGCCACAGTGCAGCAAATCTAGGCCACGCGTTCTGTGGCACTGAGTGCTGTGAACTTAAGTGACAAAGCTAGAAGAATAAGCAAACGGGAAGAAGAGAACTTCCAGCACTTTCTGTGATCTCAGAATCACTCAGGACATTTCTTCCCCTGGGTCTGCTGCACTAAAAAGACCACAAAACAACTGCTAATTCAGAAAGTTTATTATCATAAAAGTCAAATTCCTTATTTAAAAAAAAAACTACATGAGACTACAAATAGTATTTTTCTTGAAGGTGTGGATTAAAAGCAGACTGCCTAAATTTAAAAAGAATCCCCTGAATTTAACTAAACAGTTTCTAAACCTGGCTTTGAGTCATATAATATCGTGCTATGTTGACTTACAAGGAGATGTTTGCAATGGATTATCCGAAGACCTCTTTCATTACTACTCCATAAACCCCAGCGGAAACATTTTCTTGCATGGCAATTCACATTTGAGAAACTTTCCAAGACCTGCTTTTCTTTTGCTGACTTTTGAACACATTTCTAGAGAACAACTTCAGCATGAACAGCTTACTAACAGCATTTCATGATCACTGATGGTGCAACAGAATTAAGTGATGCTCAACATTGCAGAGATATCCTCCAGCCCATCTTCGAGGTAGGACAAAGTAACACTGACCAAAAGCCCTCAGACCCTGCACGCACACACACATACATGCCCACGTAACTTCATGGAGCTAAGGCAAATATGCGATTGTGTGTAGAAAACAAATACACCTGAGTCACATTTATTCTCTACTCCAAATTCTATCTCACTCCTTTCCCCCCCGCGGTCAGTTTCCCCTGAAGCAGTCACAGCACTGGCTGGGGAGTCCTGCAAGACGTCAGGTCCCCGAAGCGCCGCAGTCCTGGCTGGGTGCAGCAGAACCGGGCTGGGGCTGGGAGCCTAAGATGCTGCTTCCATCCAACTCCTCCCAGAAACGTGCACCACGCTAGGCTTGCAGCCAGAAGGAAGCCCCGGGCAAAAACAGCTCGGAGTGAAGAGCATCCCCGCACCCCAAGAGCCCCCGAGCTCCAGCGCCCCTGCTGCGCCTTTCTTCCGGAGCCTCCTAGCCCCTGGCCGGGTGAGCCCTGGGTTAGTCAGTGCGCATGTGACCTGCGGTACCCACATGACACGACCGCGGCGGGGCGGGGGACACCGAGAGCAGCGGGCAAAAAGTTACGGGAGATCTGTCAAAGCGCCCAAAGCAAACTGTCCTTGCCCTCCCGGCCAGCCAGTGTGCCAGGAAGCCCTAGGGGACAGCGGGGACGCGAGTGTGGCGTCTCCATCAGCCGGCCTCCGGGGCGCTGGCTTCTGAGCCCCGCCGCCCTCTGTCCTCTCCGCCGCGGGGAAGCCGCTGCGCCCTCGGGGCGTCGTTTCGCCTTGCGTCTCCCTCCTCCTTCCTTCTTTCCTTCCTGCCCCCAAAGCCGTCCATCCCAGACCGGCGGTGCCACCGACGCGCGCGCAGTTTGCCGGGCCCGAGCCCCTTCCCCAGGCAGGAGCCAGCCGCGCCCACAAAGTTGCGCGCACCCTCGGCCAGCCCGCGCCCACGCGGCCCCGCTCACCTTGCCTGACGCACTTGAGCCGGAGCGGGTCCTTGCAGTGCCTGATGACGGCCAGCACGTCCCGGATGGTGAGCCCCGCCACGGGGGTCTCGTTCACCTCCAGCAGCAGCTCTTCGGACACCAGCTTGCTGCCACTCTCATAGGCCACCTTGCCAGGCTTCACCTCGCCCAGGTAGGGGAACTGGCCGTTCTCGGCGCCCCCCTTCAGCTCGAAGCCCAGCTGGCCCTCCGGGTTCCTGCCGATGACACTCTCATGGACTTTGCTGGTCCAGTGGCTTTTCTTCTTCAGGCTTTTGGACATGGCAGTGGGCTGGGGCGCCGGCTCCGGTGCTCCGCGGGGAGGACGGGCGCGGGGCGAGCGAGCGCGCGCGGACTTTGCCTCCGCGTCCCGGGCGGGCGAGGACGGAGCGGGCCGGGCAGAGGCGGCGCTGTCCCCTGAGACGCTCACGGCGGC